AAATCTGGACGCTCGATTGGCCGTGGCCATCTCCTGTCCTGTGCAAACTGACTGACTGCCTGAACTGGACTGGCGCGCATTCAAAAGAATTACGGGTTTTCGCTTTGTAACGACCTTGGCAACTTGTCATTCTGTTTGTGTGAGTCGTGCTCATGTCTCAGTGGACCTTTCGGTTCATGGTGTCTGCGTTTTCCTCTTTTTCAGATTGTCGCCCTCTCCACGGAGAACACCCTGTCTGTGGACGGTTTCAGCCCACCCTAGACTCGGCTCACTTGCTGTTGTCTGTTGTATACACCAACGGATATATCCGTTCACGGGGGACATCCTGGTGCACACACGAGCCACTCATCTAATAGCTTATGGGGTTTGTCCAACGTCTCTTCTAGTTAACCCACAGTTCGTCTGAAAATTCAAAAAGAGACTTCTATGATATATTCGCTCAAGAATTAGAAGATATAAAACGCGAGTTATCAGAAACAGAAAACCGGATGATGCAAATTTGTGGTAAATAAAAATGAAACTTTACGTAGTTTTAAAAGACGATATTTGTAAAGAATGCTATGAAAACATTGACTTAGCTAACGCAGAAGCTCTAGAGAATGCGATCAAAGCTAGAATGATGTTGGATAACGCGAATTGGAGCAATGAAGCTTTTGTTACAAACCATCCTTCAGCAGAAGGCCCTAGTGAAACGGACAGAGTTGCCAAAAGCACAGAAGACTTGAAAAAGTTCAATGAAGAATCGGAGATAAAGCTAGATAGTTTAGAATGCAAAACAGAAGATGCGGAAGTTAATTGACGTATCGAAGAGCCCTTCGGCTTATTATTTGTGGAAATAATGTTTCCTTTTCCAATTTACCCATCAATATGTTGATGATTATGCTCATTATTCCTTCGTCTCTTTGATAATAACAGTGTGTATTTTCAGACGCTTTGATAAACCAAGTGCTTTTACGTACACAAATAAACTGTTATGAAAATTGAGGCGTTCTTAGCACAAATCGTCAGGTCGAGTGGAGTCAGAACATAACAGTTCCAGCACATTGATGGTGGAGGTTGACCTCCTACTTTTGTTTCACATTCCGGTAAAACAATGGATCGGGTCAGCAGACTCTGACGCCGGCATCGATCAAGTTACAGTCCCGACTTAATAGTGTAGGACGTTCCAGTGGCACAGTAAGTGCCTTAAGAATATGGAGCAGGTGGGGTATCGAGAGGACAATAACAATGATTAAGAGGGGATGGACTGAAAGAAGAATAGATAGGAGAAGGAAGAGGGAGGAGGAAAGAGGAGTAGGGATGCCGGAGAATCACGTTCCTGGGCCCTGTTTCGAGTTTCTTCGGTGAAAAGCCCTTCCCATTTTAAGTTATTGCAGGTTTCAAAACTCTTCACCGAGTTTTAGTTGACTACTTCAGTAGACAACCTGTTTCAGTCATTCACCACCCTTATGGCTAACGTCTGCCTAAATCGGTTGGTTACCTTAACCTCAAGTAATTTGAAATCGTTTTCCCATGGGGCGGGGTTCTTGCTGGGCTGTTCCAAAACAAGAGAAGTTCCGTTTCGAGAGAAGTTAGCCAGGTCGGCGAAGATGAATCCAAAAGGAATATATGCCTGTGTGTGTGTATACGCACAATCTAAAAAGAGAACGAGGAAGGATGTGGCTGTGCTAGAAGGTCTGTGTGGCTAACTGGTGCTGACATCCGGAAAAGGCCAAACACTCCTGGAAACTTACAAAGGGACTGGAGACCTAAGATTACCCAGACTGACAGATAAACTACAACTTGCCTGGTATATCTGATCTGTGAATGAACAAAGGAAGTGTCCCAAACAACGGAGCACATTGAGTGGAATACGATGCGCTAGGCTGAGACCCAAGAGATGATCGTCTTTGGTCAGAGACGCTGAGAGATATGGCCCAGAATAGAAGTCAGTGGTGCGAATGCTGTACGGTTTGCCTATATAAATCCCGTGCCCTTTAAAAATATATCAAAAAGTGTACGGTGAAACACAAATATTGTTATCCCAGCTATCTACCATTTTGCAAACCACCTGCCCCCTGTTATTGCTATTATTTCTGTGGCGTTGGCACCATATATATATATATATATATATATATATATTCAGTTCCATTGTCGCAAAAGTAGTACATGTTAGCCATTACATAACTCCCAATCGATTTTTCAGGGATATGTAACAAGTACCTCATCATTCAGCTAAAGTTATTCAGATACACACACTCAGCATAGCCGAGACTATTGTAATAAAGCCATTGACCCCTGACCTAATTGCGCAAATGTTTGGATTATGACATCACCTCCTATTGCACACCGACGTCAGGCGCAGAGTTTGAGTTAACGGCGATCGACCACTGGATCAAGTAGTCGACCTCCACAGCTTAGGTATGTTGGGGTATGTGATACGCATATCACTAAATAGGTTACCATGGCGCGTAATGTTAACCGAGGCAAGCAGTGGGTGGGAACAAGCCAAGGGTGGT